ATGCTTCAAATATTTTTTGTAGTACAACAAATTAATATGAAGATGATGGATTAAACCTCACTTCTAGAAAATATATAAGATATCTTAACTGTTAAGCTAACCTTATGTTGTCGTGACAGTGGAATGAAAACTTTTTAAAGGTTAGAGGTCAAAATTTATGAAACTAAGGATAGAGTTAAAATCTCATTAAATTATATAAATTGATCTAACGCGCTGAAATTGGTTTCTTAACAACATATTTTTAGACATGTCTTTCATCTTCACAGGAAATTTCTGGTATTTCGGGAGTATCATAGTCCTTCTATTTACTACTTATCATGTCAAGATCGTATTAAACATGATGTGAAATTCACTAACAGTACAAAATTATTTATAAAGACAAAGCCATAGTTTGAACAAAGGGAGTATGATACTATGCAGTATTAGAATTTTCCACATTTTACTATGTTCCGACATCTCCAAGAACATTAAAAAGAATTATCATTGGTATCTTTCATTGGTTTTTTCTTCAATATGAAAAACTATAGGGAGATTCGAACCTCGGTTGGTCGAGTATAATCAAAATAACTTTCCACTCAAAATTATTAAATATCAAAGATGTTGATGTATTCCAAAATAATTATCCTTAAAGATGAGTTAGAAAGTAATCCTTGTAAGAGTATTTTGAACATTTTGAAACATTTGAATATTTGATCAATATAAGAGCTCGTTTCTACATTTTCTTTTTTAAAAGAAAAACAAGATGTGTTTCGAATTTTTTGTTATTAAAAAAAAAAAGAAACATATCTAGTAATCCTTTCTTATTTCTTGTACTCTATTTAAAAAAATATATTTGTTCTACAAAATTTATTTTAAAATTGAATATTTAATTTTATGTTATATTACTTATCCATTTTATAAGTAAAAAAATTAAATATTTATATTTATATTTTTAAAAGCTAATAAAAAAATGAAACTTGCTTTATTATTTCTAAAATATTTACACAATTTTGGCATTCCTAAAATATGAGAATAATAGGGGAGATTACTTCACTAACTAAATTAAAAATAGAAATGTTAGAAGATTGGGAGTTTCAATATATGGGCGATCTTACAACTAATACATACCTGGTCTATTTAGGAGCTCTAATTACGTAAAAGGATGAAAAAGTATAGAATTTACACTTTTGTCTAAAATAATTCTCAAATTAAATAGCACCCGTAACAAAAATTATTAATATACCCATCTTAATATTAAATCATTATTAAAATATGAAATGGGTAAATCATCATTAAAATATATTAAATTTCTAAAATTGTGCTAATTCAAATTTCCAAAACTGAAAATCCTAAAACCCCAAAATTACGTAACCTCCTTCTTCTCCCTCGATTTTCTTTCACTGTTCCGACTGTCGGGCTTCTTCTTCCTCTGAAGCATCCGATCATTTCTCCGACATTGTCGCTGTCTCCGGCGGCTCCGATTTCTTTGTTTGCAGAACATTTCACCGCCGGCCTCCGTCCCATCTCATTCCACTGGTTACTATTATACGGTAACATCGTCGCTGTCTCCCTTCGTCTCCGACGGCTCCATTATACGGTAACATCTAATTTCATCTCCGACCTCCGTTGCATGAGCATTTTAGTCCGTCGGTTCCCATTATACCGTAATTTATGCTATATTTATGTTTCAATTTTGGACAGAATCGAGGTTCATCTCTTGCTCTCTGGTTCTATTGTTTAAATTAGTTCGCATACACGCTTACGAAAATAGAACCAGAGAACCAGAGAAATCAGAACTATATACTCGAATATTATATCTTTGGTTCTATTGTTTTATGTATCATTTAACTAGAGATATAATATATATCCTACGGAAATAGAACAATATCAAGAAATCGGAAGAAATCGGAAGAAATAGAACAATATATAAAACTAGAGATATAATATATATCATACGGAAATAGAACCAGAGAACCAGAGAAATCAGAACTAAAAAGACATATTGTGATATGATTTGATATGATTTAAGTTTTCAATTAAGATTAATGATTTGATATGATTTAGGTTTCCAATTGGATTTAATTGAGATGTCTTATTCTTATTATGATGAGGAATCATTTTCCAGTCAAAACCTGTTGAAGGAAGGGCTTCATAGCCTTACCTTATTATTAGAGAAAGGGGAGCAACAAACAACTCTCGCGGTCTCGAATCAAAAAAATAAGAATTTTGAGCATTAATACGAGGCTTAGGTTTTTTTTCCTCAACCGGGAATCTTGCCCGACCCCGAGCTTTTCTATCGAATTCACCGCAATGAAATTGTATTTTGTTATTGTCTCAAGTTTCTCTCATCTCTATCTATTTGAGCCTTAGGTATTTTCCTAGGGCCATTAGGGAGAGATTTCAATCGGAATTCTTAAAACAAATTTAGAGATTTCGATTTTGAAGAAGTTTGTCGTCTGTACATGTCTGCACATGTCGGTGCTATTCATGGTCTCTCATACCAGAAAATTGAGTTCGTGGTCTCTGGTGCTATAAATTGAGTTTGTGGTTTAATGCCAGAAAACTGAGTTCGGGGTTTCTCGTGCCAGAAAATTGAGTTTGTGGTCTCTCGTGGCACAAAATTGAGTCGCTCCTACTTGCATTGTAAAAAACTGTTATGGATGAGAAAATCTAATTCCCTTTATTCAAGGGATTTAAAAGGGAAGATATCTTGATCTTCATAGATTCAGATAACCAGATTTCCTAGATGTATCGGTATTCGAATTCCACAATCTTTTCATGATTCAACTTAGTAAGTCAAACCCTAAAGGGAGGCAACAAATCTCTACTCTTTACTATGTTCACAACACCCTATACTTTATACTAACTACTCCGATTTTGACTTAAGCATCGGAGCCTGTGTGGCAAAAAGCCACACTGGTCTTTAGTGCTATTCTGTTTTGCAATTCTCGTCGATCCCTTTTATTCTTAAATATTAGTGCAAATTTGGCGGAATCCCAAGAGACCAAATTTCTACATCAACAATTAGTGCCGTCTGTGGAAACGACTAAGATCTAAAAGCTAACAATATGAACTCTGTAGTCTGTGGGAACGACTAAGATCAACAACGTTCCGACGATGATTGTTATCCAAGGAGGATGGTAAACCGAGAGATATTCTTGCTCGAGGTGGTTGAAGGTGATGAATTGTTAATAAAAATTAAGCATGTTATGTTCAAATTTGAGGTAAATTAATTATTTCATATGTTTTATACTTAAGAAAATTATTTGTTTGATGCCCAAACAAAACCTCGGTAAGCTAGCTGGTCAAGGAGCTCGAACTAGGACAGACTCAGAAAGCAGGCATGCCAAGAATTTGGCTTTGTTTACGAACTTGATGTTGATAAATCCGGAGATTTAGAAATTCATTTCGGACAATTGAACCTTCTCAAAAACTGAGTTTATGGTCTTTAGTGCCAGAAAATCGAGTTTGTTGATACCATGACTTTTTTTTAGTACAACATGTAGGGACGGGGGATCGAACTAAGTTATTGCTTTGGCGACTTCATACCATGATAAATTTCAGGGAGGAGAGAAAATTGAGAGAATAAAAAAATACAATTTCATTATATTGAATTCTTTAATCTCGATTGAAACATGTCGTCCTATTTATAGTCGAACGATACCTAATCGTAACATAAATAAGACATCTAAAATAAAATAATATCTAAATTAAATGTAATTTTAATTCCTAATACAAAACCCAAATCATACCAAAATCTTAAATCATATCAAATGTAATGTCAATTCTTAATAGGAAATCTAAATCTTAACGAAAACTAATTAACAAAAATACAAAGTGTTATTCTTGGGCATTTAAAAAAAAACTATATAAGGACAGTACTAATATTCAATTACAATTGAAAAATAAAAATAGTAATCTGTAACATAATTGGTCCCATTTAACACATCTTAGCGTATTTGAATTAACTTCCCAAACAATTTTGGAGCGCCATTTTTTTCTAACATGTTTGGTAACAAATAAAAATCATTTATTGCAATAATCAAATTACTTTTTTTTTTAAGTAATCATATCTAAAGTGTTGCTGTAAAAAAAAGAAAAGAAAAGACTGATCTATGCTGTTAAAAAAAAAAAACTGACCTATATATAAGCCAAATGACAATAGTGTTTGGTTAGCCCACGTAAAAGACTGGTTGAGTAAGAGGTCGAGCAACAAAGTTAAAAGAACAACCTATTAGGGGACCACTTTGCACAGGTAGGTCATGTCATATCTAGCGAGTGTCGAGTACATCCAATTTAGTGAGAAAGTTCGTCGTCACGTAGTTTAATTTGCACGGGGTGTTTATCCCAAGACAAAGTTATCAAAGAGTAACAAACTATAAATTTACAAATTCATCTGATATAAAACAACGATGATTATCTTCTCAGTTGAAGTATGCTCGTGCGGGCACATATTTGTGATAAAAATCAGATTCGACACGTGTAAGCATCAACTCAGTTCGTGGTATCCATATTACAGAACAAACCATGGGTACTCACTGGCTTGATCTTTATCGAACTGAGAGGAAGGAGATACCTCCACTGACCTGAGGAATCCGACTACCGACCTCGGGCCGAAAGCTGTAATCGCTATTTGTAACATACCAACGACTTTGTCTCCCCCGCTTGTAAAAGAGATACTCTACCTCATTGATCAGATACGCTATTTCTTCTAAGAACGACCTAAACAACTCGAGCTCGCAACTGACTTTGACGGCAGAATATTTATTCCTTGTGCATGTCTACTTTTGAGCACCTCAACAGCTCGTGACCGACCTGTGAGCTTGATTGGAAACAACATCAACAATCATAATATAACTTAATCGAACCATGCCAGCGTGGTCTAATACCATAGTTTAATAGACAAATTCCTACCAAAAATAAAAAAATAAAAAAACAAATAAAGGATTTAAAATTTAACCACAGTAAATAAATAAGAGCGAAAATAAAACCCTCTAAATTCCGGCGCCAATTTCCCGAAAACAAGTGGACATGTCCAAGTCTACCCACAGTTTCTCCCCAAACCCTCCTCTACTTTTACGGTCTTCTCCTTCACAACGCTAGATGCTCCAAATCTCTCTCACCTCTGCTTCTTCTCTCTACTCTCTCTTTCGATTCACGTTGCTGTCTCATTCCTCCGTTCATGGCGCGAGGTAGAAAGCGGCGGCGACCGGAGACTGCTGCGGGAGGGCATGGCGACGGAGGGGCTGAAGTTGGAGTTATCGACAAGGGTTTTCTGGGCGGCGGCGAGGGCGGGGTGCAATGGGGGATGAAAAGGGAAGAGGAGGATGGATTAGTTGCGGAATGTAATGATGTAGAGACGCAGCAGCCGAAGGAGGGGGAGGACAATGGCGAGCTGCAGAAGCAGAAGAGTTTTGTTGCCGGAGAAGACGGCGAATTGGGACGTAGGGTTTCGATTAATAGTCCACCGAGAAGTTTGAGGAAGAAGGCGAGAGTTTCTTACAATGAGGAAATTTACGAGTTCGATGACGACGACGACGACGACGAAGAGGTTCCTTCCAAGAAGCCTGGGCGAAGGGGTAGGAGAAAGAAAAATTTGCCTTCGACTCGGAATGTGTCCGAAGACGAAGAGCAACGGAGTCCTATGGAAGGTGTGGATGACGATGGGGAGAAAAAATCGGGTGTTTCTGGAAATAGGAGAGGTTCTTCAAGAAGGAAACGCGGTAGGAGATACGCGCTACGGAAGCAAACAATTTCCAAACCGGAGGGCGAGAAAAAAATCAATAAGTTGGATCCGGAAGTAAGAATTTACGGTTTGTGACTAGTGTAATTGTTTGTTTTCCTTGCTTATTACAGCTATGATTGTCTTTTTTCCTTGTGAATCAACAGTTCATCGAGAAGATATCTTTAATGTGCCATCAGTGCCAGAGGAATGATAAAGGCCGTGTTGTACGTTGTACTACTTGTAGGAGGAAGCGGTATTGTGTCCCTTGTTTACAGAATTGGTAGGCATCTTCCTTATTTACTTCAAATTTTTTCCATCGTTGCTACTAATAAGTTATCAGATAATTTATGTTTTATTTATTTTTTTACTTTGTGCACGTGTAAATGGATGCAGGATGGTTGTAGCTGGATATTTATATATTATGAACACAGTGTGTTTGCTATTTTATACATTGGTGTGTGGGGAGAGGTGGGGGTCTAGTAATACGTGATGAGCAATGCATTGCAAGACATATCTTTGTTGTGTAATAGAGACCTACATTAAATTATTTAGTAGCTAAGTAACCACGAACGCCTTGCTCTCTTGGTATTTGGTTGGTGGTATAATGTTATGACATGAATATGATTTGAACTAGAGTATGCAATTGTTGCCACAAAATGATGAACCACTAGTTCTTAGTTTCTGATGATACTAGAGGAATATCTATTGGGTTTTTCTGTTTCAACTGTAGGCTACAATGTTGATGTTTTTAGTAGATTACGAGGCCATTCTGTTCCACAATTTCAATTTGTAAGATAATTAGATAAATGTGCTTGTTTTCCTGATAATCAACAATCTTTCATTACTATAAAAGAAAAAAGACACAAAAGAGAAAGATAAGAAATCCTCTCTAAGCCAAGGAGTTCACGAAAAAGCACTCCAATTTGCATAAGTAACACAGGTGTAGTTACAAGGTCGATTCCAGACGAATTGCCAAAGAGAAGCCAAAGCTTTCCCTTTCTGCCAAAAAGTTGTCATTCTTGTCTTCCTTTCTAATTATAAATTATTAAATTTAATTTTCAACTTAAAGCATTGGCATCGTTAATCTGCAGAATGTTTGCTTTTCCTTTGAAGGGATGACCACAGAGAATCTGTCCTAGAGTTTCTTCCAAACTATTAGGGGAAGTACTACTGTAATTTGCAAGTATGCAGGATTAGGCAAGACCATTTTTAAGAGAAAGGGGAACTTCAGAACATTTGCTCCTCACTTTTCATTGTAATTTTTACCTGAGGATGCACCAACTCAAAGATATTTGTGACGTTGGGATGATTT